TGCTGCCGGAAGAGGGCCGCCGAATGTTTGTCCCACGCACGGACACAATTCGAGGCCTCCCAGATGATGTCGGAGCAGATGTTGTCGGAGGATCGCGCCGCATCGTCGATGCATCAACGATGCATCGGCGACGCTGACGCTGGCGCGGAAAAAGTCTGGTTCCACATCCAGCCGCTTCGTCGATGCGTCGGCGATGTGGCGCGATTCTCCGGCCTGGAACAACATAGTCAGCTTGCTACCAACAAGGAGCGCTGAACCATGAACGAAAGGACCTTGTTGGCCACGGCGAGCTTCGGACCCAAACCTAGATCTAAGGAACGGCTCAACAACCGTAGCCCTTCCGGAGCCCAGCGCGGTCCCTGTTTCAGCGTAGTGTATCCCCAGACCACCTCCATGCCTGGCCGAGGCTATCGCGAGTCTTGGCGCGGTGCACACATCCTCGTGGCCGAGGCCCCCGACAGTCACTGCTACGAGAACGGCGCACGTGCACCACGTTATGTCTGAACTCCCTTCATTCCACGCTCCGCCGCGGTGCAGTGCACAGTCTTTCGCCTCCGAAGGCTGAAACACTACGCATCGTACCTTTCCTCGGACGAGGATCGACGACGCCTTGGGAGGCGCAAGCGCCGTATGGTGCACACAGGTCGTCCGCGGATATGCACAATCCTAGGGTCCAGGATGGCCCTGGCCAGACACGGTGGTGCTGTACAGGTGTCTCCTGCGGACCTTCGGCAACACCAGCCACAGGGAGCCAGAGACAGCCCACACCATCCTCGGACCAAAGCTGCGTTGCCTGGCTCGGTGTCCCCAACTTCCCGTGCTTGCCTGCTCTGCTAGGAGGAGGAGGAGGAGGAGCTGGAACTGGAACTGGATACATGACAAAGTCAGGATAGCAAGCAATGACAATAATGACATGCTACATGCAATGCGATAAAAGGGCCTACCCTCGAGACGCTCCTCCGCGTCGGGTGGCCTTCTCCGTCTTGCTCAGAACCTTTGGCCAGAGCCCACGAGAAATCCTGGAAAGGTATTCAAGCCTGTTAGCAGTGGGACGCTGACAAGGACGGCCAAGCCCGTCCAGCAATTGATGCCCATAGCATCCACATCTGCCACAATACCACAAATTCAATCCACTGTGCCACTGCGTCCGATGAGAGGAATCAACCAAGCCCCCCGCTATATGCAACTGGGCCTGGGGGGGTTTGTTGAAAATCACTCCGTTATAATTCAGTGGCTCGAAACACGGTGACTGACGCCAGAGAGTGGTCCGTGCCTTTGTGGCCGAACCTCCACAACGAGTACACCTGCGCCCTGTCTTATCAAGTCAGTGGTCGGTGGAGAAGAGGGAGAGAGAAGCAGCAGAGGGGGGCGAAGGGGCAGGGGCGACCTTTTTTCCACGAGGCTCAACTCTGTTTTCCGCTTCGGCGTCGCAGGCGTCCAAGGTGGCCCGCAAAATCCGCATGCGCACAAGTCGAGCCCTGCGCTCGTGCAACAGAACAGTTGATCGCACTTCCTGCGGGACCCGCGCCTCCTCTGCCGCGAGACCAGCAACCTCGTCTACCACAGCGTTGCTGGTGACCTTCCATCTCGGCGCCACCCCCCTCACAATATCTTGGGCTGTGAGATGGGCGTGGGTAAAATCAACAGTGATCGACGCCGCTCCGCCTGCTCGCTCTTTGAGAAGCTGGCCTAACTGCGCCCGCAAATCCTTATCGTCGCCTTGGGGCCGATCATAGTGGCCCGCAAACCAGCCTTTGACAACTGGCTCGCAATCTGAAATGAACAGAATGGAACCTCTGGTGAGCCAGACCGCGAGCACTAAGGCCCGAAGCTCCCCCCTCGCCACGACTTGGCGAGGGCCACACAGGGGGCCACGCACCGTGCCGATTAGCTCCACGCAGGGCTCAAGCGAGGCAAAAAGGGCCACGGCTACGCCGACGCGGCGAAACAAGTTGCTGCTACTGTCGGGCCCTCCACTAGCGTCGCCACTGATGAGGAGAGGGCTGCTGATGGAGCCTTCACCCCAGCACCCTGCAGAGACTGCATTGAATCCCGCAGGGGCCCAGCATTCGGCAGCCTGCGGCGGGGGCGCTGCCGCCCAGGCCGCGGGAAGCATGCCCCTGAGCCAGAACCCCTCGTCCATGTCCATCTGCGCTAGAGCCTGAGGTAGCAGATCATGTGAATCATCGTATGCAGCCTTCCCTTGGCTGCACTCGCAAAGCCAGATGCGGTGCTTGGCCGTCTCTGGCTCCATGCCGCATCGTGGGCACAACACGTTGCCGTCGAATCTAGCAATCTCATCTTTGCGCCGCTGCATCGGCCAAGAAGCTCCTGTGGCACAAGTTAGCATGGTCTCTGACAGACGACGCCCATACTCAGGTACAGCTGCCAGTTGCTGCAGAAGCACGCGGTTCGAGGCAACATCCACTCCGCGTTCGAGGCCTGCTCCGCATAAACGGCGGCTGGCCTTGACCCACAGCTGGTGCCTGAGCGAGGCGCGGAAGTCCTCAAGGAAGGCACTGTGCGAGTCAAGGGCTTTGTCGCCCGTGTACATGGCATCGTCGAACCTCCAGTCGTCGCCCGCTGCCTCATGGGGCGGTGGTATGGTCCAGGCCGTAGGCTCATCCACACCCCAGCCAGCCTCCAGAAGGTGTAGCACCACAGCTGTGAGAGGCCCCCGTGCATGGCGGGGGCGTTGGACTTCTGGGATAGACCGAAGGTGCTGCACAACTTGGCGCCATGCTTGCCGAACTCCAGGTCTGAGCTCGGGTCGGTCACGCCATGTAGTGAGCCACTGGTCCAAGCAGGCCGCGGGCATCTGGATGGCGGGGTCTGCATCGCCAGCTCGTAGGGCGAGCAGGCTGGTCAGACATCGCCCCCCCGTGGGGGCCGCCAGAGAAAACCCAATCGTCGTCGGATATCCGTCATCTTGCTGCCGAAGATGCCGTAGACTTGGTGTCCATGCACTCCAGCAGCTTGGGCGCCCTGTCGTTCAAGGCGCCCGCACGTTTGATGCTTCTTGGCCGTCCAGGCGAATCGTCGCACCTTGGCATTCATGCGCTTGTGCTTGGCCTCGCGGACGACTCGGGTCGAGCGCCCGCGTCTGCTCCCACCAGCGACGTCGACGCCCAGGTGCGCTGCCTGAAGCTTGGGAAGGATGGTAAACCCTGCCCTCTTGACCCGTGCAGCGATCCACTTGGCGTCCTGACAGTGTGAGCACATGACAACGGACTTCGGGGAGACAGCAAGTTGCCTGGCCTGTAGCTCTTGACAGGTCTCGATGATGCACGACGCGAGCTGCCTCCTAACTGCTGACCTCGACCCTCTTGTCCCTTGTGAAAGACCATCGATCCAAATCCGATGGCTCACCCTGGGGTGAGCGACTGTAATGGCTGACAGCACGTAGTGGGTCATGGCCTTGCCGAATCTCGTGCCTGAGCGGAGGCCCTGAACCACACTTCGCGTCGGCTGGAAAGCCCGCGATGTGGCCCCGAGCTGGCCCACCGCGCGCGCTGCCGCGCACTGCAGCAGTTCGAGGTAGACGATCGTCGGTGGGAAGGACAGGTTGAGGGAGCACAACACCAGCCCTGGCCACTCAATGGAGTCGTAGAACGACTCAATGTCAACAAGGCCCTCTCCGACAGCAGTGCTCAAATGATGCGGCACTTCCTGCTGGAGGGCCCTCGCAAATGCTTCCCTCAAACTGGAATTCCCTCGCACTGCAGCGTCCCAGGACGCCTCCGTGTCGCTGCTCCACTGGCGTACCAACGGCTCACGGATCAAACTCCATAATCTGCCTATCATTGAGACGTGCCCGATGATGCGGTCGCCCGTGCTCTTCTTGGGCAGCATGCGCCCAACGATCAGGAGGACCTGGGCGGGCCAGACGAGGTGGTACTCGCAGGCCTCGAACAGCAGCGCCAACTCGGCAAGAGCCGGATCAGGAAGACGCTCGAAGTCCCCAGGGGAGAGCATGTCGACGCCAAGCCCCGCTCGGGGCCGCATCTGCCGCAAGGCTGCCCTGATGTCCTCAACCGAGATGGGCGGCGGCACATCGTCCTGAGCTGCCTCTCGTACCTGCTGAAAAGTATGCTGCGCAAGTTCCTCGTCCATCTGATGAGGTGCCCACAGATCGTGGCAGCCTCGAGCTTTGACGTCGGTAATGTCCTTGGGGTGGTAGAGTACCTCCCCCTCGTGTTCTAGCTCTTGTGCTGGTAGATTCTGTGGGTCCAAGGAACGATGCAGCGTGCCTACAGACTCAGCTGTGCCCATAAAATCTCTGAAATCGCGAATGGACTCCTGGACTGCACGCCGCTGCGCTCTGCCCATGACGCGCTTGGACAGAAATACGCACTGCTCCAGCTCCCTGGCGGCCACCTCGCCTGCAGCGCGAATGACCCGAGCCCATTCCTCCCACGGTGGGTCACGCTCAGCTAGCAGAACTCGCCGTGCTTCATCTGGCCGAGTGTCTAGATGTCGTACACAGACAGCCGTATATTGAGCAACCTGCCGTGGTCCGTTACGCTTGTCTCGATGCAAGTGTAGCCCTGAAAGAAGTGAGTGTAATTGCGTCCACCATGCGCTGACCTGGTCTCGAAGCGCCGCCACTCGCACTTTGCCAGGCATCCTGACGGTGGTCACCTTGAAACGCGGCCCCTCTGCTCGACGTGGGCCTGATGGAATCGCAACTCCATGATGCGCAGAGATGCTGGATTCGACAGCAGACACCCAGGAGGCGTAGTGGCCTGAAATAGTGGAAACAAGATCTGGCTCGAGCCGAACAGCTACGGACTGACGCAGAGCAGGAGCAAGGGACTGAAGCGAGAACGCGCCAGGCGTAAACCCGACTTCTCTCCGACACCGCTCCCGCAATTCTGGAGGTATTGCATGAGTCGGGGCTCCTCCAGAGACTTCCACGTCAGGGTCCGAGGGCAGGTCTCCAACGCGCTGGGAATCCAGGGTCTGCGCCTGAGATGAGCCAAAGGTCGGAGCAGCGGCCGAGTTCGGCAGCACCACCCCCACGCCCTCGACTACCCCAGACGGATCTCCCCCAGACTCCCAGGCCCCAGACTTGACAAGTTCAGAGCTCGACGAATTCCCAAAACTTGGAGTGCCTAAAGGGCCTAGAGGGTTCCTGGGGACAAAACTAGACTCTTCAGCCCACGGGTCCTCCTCCTCTTCAGGCCATTCTGAATACTATAACTCAACAGCGTGCTCCCTAGGCTCTAAGTGGGCGGTGTCTTGGTCCCCAGACCCCTCCCCCTCAGAGTGCGCACAAGACGATTGAGGACCACAATCGCCGAACAAGGATGCAAATTTCTGGGCGCGCTTGTCAACTGCAATCTGATGCTGGACTTGGCGCTCGATCTTAGCAAGGCTCGATTTCGAACCTACTGTCGGCTCAGAGGTGGGGCGCGGGACCTGTGGCAAACGTCCTGGCACCTCTAGGATCCTAGTGATGAGTTGCTCACCTGAACTACGAAGGGTGACCTCAAGGCCTACGTGAGGCTTCCGAGGAACAGCGAGGACAGGAGTGACAGAGACGACGAAAGGGACCGCTGATTTACTGCACAATACATAATCAATGACCGTGCCCGTGCCAAGATTACAAGTTGCTGGATCGCCAGCGGTTATCACAGTGCCGTGCAGTCTATCTGGGATGCCTGACCGAACAAAATTTTGAGGCGAGATGTTGAAACCGCCGAGCACTATCCACGGCAACTGGAGCGACCACAAAAGGCCTGCTAGGCGCTGGTATCTACCAGCGTTCAGGCCTCTCACCCCCGCTCCGTTGTGCGCGTAGAAGGACACGATGACCATGGAGAAACCTGGAAAGTGCGCCGTCACCGCCACGAACCCGTCGAGCGAGGAGGGGTGGTTGGGCGCCTGCAACTTGGAAGCCGCTACCTTGGAAGCGCCGAGCCTGGCGACCTGGAGGTGGCCCTTGGACATGAACCACTCGCCGCCCTCGCTCGCGAACTCGACCTGGGAGTCCGTGGCAACTTTCTGTGTGCGCCTAGCTGGATTGGCGTGAAGACGAAGCCCTTTCCCACGAGCTTTGCCATCATACTTCTTAAGAGACTGCTTATCGTGAATGTGAGTCTCAACGATGCTGAAGAAATCGTGTGGCTGCCCAACCAGCCATGACCACGCCTTCTCCCCCATGCAGGTGACACTCCCGTGGAATATCTTGGCCGTGCGGCCCCCCTCTGTCGGCTCCGCGGCCGACTCAAGACTAGGCTCCACACCTAGTCACTCGCCCTGCTTCTTGTCCTCCGCGGCCTGCGACTGCGGCGGAGGGGGAGCGCCGGCGCCCTTGCCGTTGCTCGTGCCGTTCTGGTCGGCCATGGCCTGGAACTTCGCCGCAGAGAGCCTCTGGGCCTCGGCCTTCACGGCCTCAGCCTCGGCCTCGGCGGCCTCGGCGGCGCCGGCTGGGGGGGCCGTCTGCGCGGCGGGGGCGCCCTCGGCACCCTGCGCTCCACGCGCGGCGCTCTCCCCAGGCGGCTCAGCACCAGAGCCCGTGGCAACGCCCTGGCCTTCCGCATTCTTCCTCTTCTTGGCAGCCCGATCCTCGATCTCGGACCTCAGCTTCTGAGCCTGGGCCAACCACGCCTTGACCTCGGCCTCCTTGCTCTCTAGGTCCGACGCCGTCGCCTCCAGACTCGTGCGAAGCTGGCGGAGCACTGCCTTCTCGTGCTCCTCGCACTCCATGGTATCTACATTCGCGAAGAAGCTCTTGTCGTAAGAGACCTCGAAGATCTTGGCCTCGGCTGTGCCCTTGGTCGCGGCCTGCTGCGCGGTGACGCCCTCGGCGCAAGCCAGCGCCTGCGCCGCGGCCGTCCGCGCCTTGAGCGCCTGCGCGACCTCGACGGCAGCCTTGGCCTCCTTGGTCTCGGCCAGCTCCAGCTGCTGGCGGAGCTTCAGCACGTGCGCCACCTGCTGGCCGTGGCGGTGGTCGGCGTCCTTCCAGGCGCCGTCGGCCCACCGCAAGGCTTCCACTGGGGTGGTGCCCTTGGCGGCGGCCGCCTCCGCCTCGAGCCGCTCGACCTGCTGCTTCAAGTTGGCCTGGAGCACAGGATCAGCAGTGGACTCCAAGGCTTGCTTGAGCAAGTCGGCGGTGGCGGAGGCCTTGTCATCACCCTTGCGCCTGCCCTTGCCTACACGGCCAGGGCTCGGAGAACGCAGGATGCCCCGCGGGTGCTGCAGCTCCTCGCCATCCTCGTCCGCGAACTGGACAGACTTCCGACGCGAGGAGCTCGGCTTCTCGTACAAGCCAACCTTCTGGCGGCAACCTGGGCAACAAAGATTGCGCTTGCTGGCTAGGATGTCATTGTACTCGCAGCGCTGGCAGTTCTGACACTTCGTCCATGCACGGCGGGGGGCTGCCTTGCCCGCGCCAGTCATGGCTGCAACTCGAAGACTAAGGATTTGTCTCTGCTTTAGTCGAGGCTGAAGCACAAATGGATGGGGCAGATTGTGCTTAGCCTAGTCCCTCAAGTG